CCCATTAACCTGTAATCGATGACCATTTGATGTGTGACATCGATGGTCAGGCCGGCCTCCGCCTCGCCGCCGCCGCAATCCTCGGACACGACGGCGCTGTTTGGGCTCAGAGCTCCACCTTCCCTCAGGTTCATCCTCATTATTTTTGTATCTATATGTATATATATAATGCCTGTTATGTGTTCGACGAATTGTCCCATACGTATATCTATGCATTTACATTACCTCTCTGCATGCATTTTTAATCCCCAACAAGAAAAATGATTTTGTGTTTAATTTATTTTCTTAACTAAAACTAATCTGTAATTTTTTTTTTTTTAATTATTTATTTTTAATTTGCAGTTCAAGCCGGAGGAGATCAACGGCATACTGACTGATTTCAACGAGCCGGGGCATCTTGCCCCGACTGGTTTGTTCCTTGGAGGGGCAAAGTATATGGTGATCCAAGGGGAGCCCGGTGCTGTTATTCGTGGCAAGAAGGTAAATAAATTTTGCAAAAAAATAAAATATCCCGTAATTCGGATTTAAATTTTCCAGCATTGCATCCGATATACAAAACTTCAACTCGGGAAAACTATAATTCTTTGAATCTTGCCTTGTTGGATCGACGCATATTGGAGATATTAATATTAAATGATACATTTCACTAACAACTTAAGCTTTTGTTGAGATGGTCATTCAACAGGCAGACTTGATTTTATGCCGCACTCCAATCTTGTTATGAATTGTCGAATTTCTCAAATACTTCAAATTTAATATCTCACGTGCTCTTTTTTTTTTAATGAATTATTTGATAAGTCGAAGTTTTTTTTTTTTTTTTTTCTTATGGATGCTGGAAACTGCAGGAAATTCCATATCATGATTAAAATTACGCACAATTAGCTTTATGCCCGTTTTTATACTAATTTACAGCGAAAAAAACATCGAATATTTAACGTGTTTTATATCCATTTTTTTAAGAACGATTGACATAGTGAAGAAATTCCAACATTTTTACAAGTACAGGAAAATCCATATATTTAAATGTTTACAACTACACATAATAAGCTATCTTCTTGTTCGCAACATTTTTAAAAGGTAAATTTCAACATTGTTTTCCTTTTTATTATTATTTTTGCAGGGGTCCGGAGGAATAACTATTAAGAAAACGGGCCAATCACTAGTTTTCGGTCTCTACGAGGAGCCTGTGACACCTGGACAGTGCAACATGGTTGTTGAGAGGTTGGCCGATTATCTCCTCGATCAAGGCATGTAGAGCTTTCAAGGAATTAAATGCTTTTCCGATCGAGACCGAGTACTAGATTTTCCTTTTTTTTTTTTTTTCCCACATTTTTTATGTGCATTTGATGCTCGTGTGCGTTCTTTTTTGAGGTATAAGAGTTAGTTTGGGAGGACAATAAGTGAGCAGTCGTGGCTATTTCGACACGGTTCATTTTTTAATTCGAATGTATTTCTTGTTTTCTGTTTAAACAAAATACAGTTAGTGTGGTTTTGATAAAGGCCTCAACATTTTGTAGCAATTTATGTATTGCTCATTGTTTTTAGAGGCCACAGATGTACGACTTCTATCTTGGCAGCCAAACGAGGCCTTAGTTTTTATGTATGTTTTTTTTCCGTTCGTATTATCATTTTCCCACTCGTTGTTGCAAAAGATTTTATTTTTACGGTCCCGTTCGAGGGCTGAAGATCGTATGCGATCGCACCAACTTCCTGCATTGAATTTGAAGTCCCTTTTGTTGATCAAAAGTTGCATAAATATCTATACATTAAATAAATTGAACAACCTTTACCCAACCACCCTTCTTATTTTCATACTACTTTTTTTTTGCCTTTATGAACATACTATTAAGAGGGTTTTCGGCTAAACTTATAAAGTGTTAAAAATAACTTATAAGCTCTTTCAAAATGTTACGTAGTTTAAAAAGAAAAATTCTTAAAATGTACATCTATCTCATCCTTTTATCTTAAAATAGCTTATAAGCTAATTATAAGACTTAACAACTTAGTAACTCTTAAAACAACTTATTAGACGTAAAAACTTATCAGTTGTTTAAAATAAGTTTAACCTAACGGTCGCTGCTGAAGTTTACTTCTACATCGCAAATTGTACCTATTGAGAAGTGTTTGGCAAAAATACACACACACAATTTAACTAATCTCACCTAGCACACATTACTTGTTTTTTTTTTTTTTTTTTAATATTTAATCTGAATACCCTTAAATTAATTTTCACAGTAATTGTTGCACCTTGTAGAATTTGAATTATTCGATACAGCTATAATTTGGCATGAATTTTCCAGTGCTAATATATATATATATATATATATATATATATATATATATATATATATATATATATATATATATATATATATATATATATATAGGAGTGGTGAAGAAGACAGCCTCGTTAGTTTGTCTGGTCCCTCTCTTTTCTGTGTTTGATACAAAACAACGGTCTCTGGTCTTTCAGCATTGTTGGCAGTGGACAAGTTCACTACTGTACACAATTCATATTGGATTTTATATAACGGTACAAAAAAAAAAAAAAAAAAAAATAATAATAATAATAATTTATTTTTTATAATATTAAAAAAATTATTATATTAATTATGGTATTATTTATCGTAGTTGGTTGTAAAGATTCTACCGATTGTGTTTATAATTTCAAAATTAATTACACTAGTGAATTGATTAGGCCCAAGTGTTCATATACCTTGTTCATATATGCAAGTTGATCATATAATGCTATCATTTCACATTAATATATATTTGATATAGGAATAAAATTTAATATTGGAGATTCGATATATTATAAGTAAGAAATATTTCATTTTTGGTGTCCCTTTTATCAAAACATACTTTTAAAATATCGGAAAAATATATAAATGTACTTTTTTAAAATTTGAGGCTCGTAAAAAATAAACTTTGTTTTTCAGAATATAAATTGTTTCCAATAATAAGTGATACTAATTTTATTTCACTTGTTTCGGTTTTGTTTCTAAGTTTTTCCAATAACTTGTAAATGTTGTTTAGGGTTTATTTGGATTGGCTTTAATGAAGCTAAATCGTGTGTATCACTTATTTTTCATAATTTTTTTTTACTCATTACAGTTCTTTAGTAACGAAGCCCGATATAAACCCGAAACTTGAAAAAATACGTGAGCCGAGCTTGGGCTTATACTAATGAAGTCAGTTGGCATATGATCATGACTTTATAGTAACGATACTTGATGGTATATGAGTTTGAGTCGACCCAAACTCGGCTCACATGTCCCGATTTCAGCCCTACTTGTACCATGTCAACTTTAGGTAAGAGAATATTAGTTTTCTTTTTAATTTACAAAATTATTTTTTAATTTGAAATAGTCCAAGAAATAAATTTAGAACGGTTAATCTATGATAATAAAAAAAAATATTAATAATAATAGAAATTTGGGTGGACAAATTAAATAATTGTATGGTACAAGTATTCGAAAACGTATGAATGCAACAACCATAATGCTTTGATTGAGAGAAGAAAAATAATGTTGCATGATTTTGCTGACCCACCATTGATCTTTTTAAGGTCACATTGTCTATTACAGCAGCTTCTTACCTTTACTAGCTCAGCTTTTCATATATAATTTAATTTTAATTTAATTTTTATTGGATGAGACAAAATAATTGAATTAATAAAAATATTAAACAATTTAAAATAGGTGTGATGAGAAAATTTTATATTAATATATTTTATTGTGAGTCAACTAACTGGTAATCATGCCAACAACTCTCTTGTGATGATTAACTAGTAATTCACCCGTGCGATGCACGGGATCAATTTTTTCAAAAAAAAAAATTATTTTGGATAAAATAAAACGAACGAAAACTTTGAACAGTTGACATACTTGTAAATAATACTCAAAAAAAAATGTTTTATTGAATCAAAATATACATTTGTTTGTGATTTACCTTCATATTCGCTGAAAATATTTTGTGCACACAACATTGCTCGGAATTTTTTTTATATCGCCCGATTCTGAGTTGATAAATATCTTTATCTCAAATCTACTTTTAACTCTGGACATTGCGGCGTGCAATTGCCTATCCACCCTAATAT